AGGATCCTCAGTAGTATGGGATGTGTTTTTGTTGATTTTCCTGAGCCTTAAGTAGAGGTTCCTGTTTAATAAATAGGATCCTCAGTAGTATGGGATGTGTTTTTGTTGATTTTCCTGAGCCTTAAGTAGAGGTTCCTGTTTAATAAATAGGATCCTCAGTAGTATGGGATGTGTTTTTGTTGATTTTCCTGAGCCTTAAGTAGAGGTTCCTGTTTAATAAATAGGATCCTCAGTAGTATGGGATGTGTTTTTGTTGATTTTCCTGAGCCTTAAGTAGAGGTTCCTGTTTAATAAATAGGATCCTCAGTAGTATGGGGTGTGCTTTTGTTGATTTTTCTGAGCCTTAAGTAGTCTTCTGTTTATCCTGTTTAATAAACAGGAATCACAGTACAGTGAGATGTGTTTTTTTGTTTTTGTGTGTTATGGGCTCCTGTTTAAATAAATAAGAGCTTCAGTAGTGTTGAGATATGTTTTCCTTAGCCTTAAGTAGTGGTTCCTGTTTAATAAACAGGTGTCTCAGTAAAGTGAGATGTGCCTTTTTCTGACGCCTTATCAGCTTTGATTTTTGTACAAAATATTATTTCTTTGTCAGAGGTTTTTTCTTTTCTTTGGAGGTTTTGGAGAACTTTTTTCGGTGTTCTATCGAGAGGGAAGTCGGTGTGTGTTGGTGTTTTGTTTTATAAGTAATCTCAGTAGATTAAGGGGTGCTTTTATCCTCAAGTAGAGGCTCCTGTTTAATAAATAGGAACCTGAGTATAGTGAGATGTGTTTCCCTGATTTTTTGAAAGCCTGAAGCCTGAATTGTGCCTTTTCTGGTGTTTATCCAATTCCTTATCATCTTTACTTTTCATGTAAAATGTTACTTCTCTGTTGGAGGTTTTTTTAAAGGCGTTTGGGGCGTTTTTGTCTTCGATCGGTAGGGAAATCAGTGTTGGTGTTTTGTTTAATAAGTAGAGTGTCAGTAGAGTAAGAGGTGTTTTTGTTTATTTTTATGAGATCCTTAAGTAGGAGCTCCTGTTTAATAAAAGGGGCCTCGATAAAACAAGAAACTCCACTTTTCTTAATTTTTGTAAGGACAATAAAAAAAGGCACAGCTGTATCTTTCTCTACATTAATTCTACTTATACAATGCCTTATTAGCCTTTCTTTTGTATAAAATTTAATTTTTAGGGGTTTTTACAGGTTTTGGAGTGGTGTATTTTACCTTCCATCCAACAGTAAGTGAGGAATTCTCGATAAAAAGATATTTGATTTTTGTGAGAGCCTGAAGGAAACGAAACTAATCCTGTTATTAGAATTTAACCTCTAGCCTTTTCTTTTATAAATTTCTATTTACCAATTTAATGCCATAAATTAGCCTTTCTTCTAATATAAAACATTAGTTCTTTGTTAGAGGTTTATGGGGGTTTTGAAATCAGGGAGAAAATTACTATTGGTACTTTAAATACGTAATCTTTACTAGAACAAAAGGAAGTATTTTCCTTAAGTTTTGTAAGAGCCTTAAACATGGGATTCTTGCTTCTTGATTTTTGTGAGAACCTTAAGAAAGTGGGTCTACGCCTTACTAGCCTGTTTTTGCGTATAAAACTTTATATGTTTTCTGTTAGAGGTTTTTGGAGGTTTTTCCAGGAACACTCGAAAACCTCCAAAAACCTCTAACCTTTAACCAAAAACCTCTAACCTAAAAGGTTATTTTTCTTGATTTTTGGGGGGAAATTTGAAGAAAATTACAGTCCTGTAGATACATTTTCTTCATAAATATGTGCCTCGTCTATATATATATATATAAACTCTATTTATGATATATTTTATCCTCGTAATTAAGGCTCTACGAATAAAACAAATATGACTATCATTATCCCAAATACAGCAGCTACTACAATGAGTCTTTCATTCGCAGCTAGCTCAACTATTTCGAGCCTTAATTACCATTGTTTTAGTGCACGTGAGCATACAATAATTATAGCCTGACGTGTATAAGAGCCTTACAAGTCTTGTTGTAACGGATAGCCTGTCGTGCCTAGCAATCTACTGCATATTATATGTCACTACATTACAACATATCGCGTGCGATAAAGGGAAGAGATAAGTAAATTACTAGTATACAGACAGAGCAGACATACAGACTCACGTATGAAACTTAACGTGGAGCTAGAGGAAAGTAGTTTAAGCCAGTTACTTTCTTTTTTTTTCTCGTATCGTTTCGTGAGAAGGGAACGAATTAATTGACTAACACGGAATGTAATTTTATAGGAGGTAAGCCCTCGTATCCTTTAAACGAGTGAGGCAAGATATTCTGTGATAAAAAAAATGATCCTAGAAGGAAGGAAGGAAGAAGAAGAAGAAAGAAAGAAAGGAAAAAAAAAAAGGTACGTGTGATGTTTCGCATAATGCTTAAATTGGAGAAGGTAAGAGTCACGCAACAGGCTCTAACTACTTAGAATTTTAATATATAAATGGTGAGAAGTTGGATTTTTTAAATGTAATTAAGTCTTTCGTCATTGATTAGATTTAAATGGTCCTCGAAGCGATTTTCGTAAATGCTTCTCCCCCCTTTTTTTTGGTAAGCTTGTCATTGACTCAAACACTTTTTTGTTAGCTTCCATTAAGTGTAAACACTGCTTTAGTGTCTTTATTATGTTGAGATCTTTAACTCTAATCCCTGTGCTGGGTATAGTGTTTTTTAGAGGTGTTCTTGATTTAAAAAAAATTGTCTTTTTTAAGTATTTTTAGTAAAAATTGCATTTTTTTGAAGTGTCTTTTAGCCAACTTTTAATTGGCTAAAGTGTCCTTTGAAGTGTCCTTTAGCCAATTAAAAATTGGCTGAAGGATCTAACATTTTTTTAAGGATTGCTACTAATAAAATATTGCTTTTTTTAAATAAATAATTGTGTTTTTTTTATAGATTATCATCAAACTAAGATAACAAATATGTATAGTCTATGATGACACTTCAAAAATAGTGGGTTTTTTTATGGTCTAACCCATAGGGAAGATACATTGACCATGTTTTTGGTAGGTTTAATGGGCAAGAAATGGTTCTTTGGGGTGCTAAGATGGGAAATAAATGATACTTTATGGTATCAATATGGGCAGAACTGATGGTTTTGGGGTACCAAGATGGACAGAAATGTTGATTTTTGATCTCACCAATGAGCAAGATACACTAACTATGATTTCAATGGCAATGTACCAAAAAATTTGCCCATGATTTTTGGTAGTTTCTATGGGTAAAGTTACATCGACCACGTGATTGACAGCCGTGGTGGACAAAGAAACACTGACTCTAATGGGAAAGATTTGGTGGCTTCTTTGAACTAAAGACATTGACCACGTGTGCTCGGGTTAACTCCATTTGGTCAATTACAAAGTTTACTTGGCCCATACATTTTCATTAATTTCACTAATTACCGATCGAATCCGCGAACAATAATCATGGTCATTCCGCTGCTGTGAACTGTAAACAAAGAACGTGGGGGTTGGCACGAGCATTCAAAGGCAGAATCTAGTTAAGAGAAATTAGTTTATTAAGGCATAACAAGGGATTAATGATGACAAACGATTAAAAAAAAAGGCGTCCGAGGGTCTTTTGTGTTAAACAATGTTCACTGATATAATTACGAGATAAAGGATAATAACAATTTATCGTGAGGCAACCCCCATATACTCAATTTTCCTCATTCTTCGTTGTTATAACTCATGGAAAAATGGGTTCTAATTGATAAAAGAAGTAAAAAAAATAAGGAAAAAGGGAGAGAAAGAACAGAGTATGGTGGAAATAAGAGATGACAAGTCCCTATAAAGAGAGGTCTTAGCCTGTGTCTAAGGTGTTCTGAGCTGGATAAATGACTGCAAACACACCATTTATCAAACGGTCACGTGAACGGCGCTTAATTCGCCTCTCGCTTTCGTGATACTTTAAAACTGTTTAGTGGCTCTCCACGGTCTTTCTAAACTTGTTAAACGGGCCCTCGGGAACGTCTAGGCCCCCCAAACGAGCCTTTTAAAATCAGTTTTTCCGACCCCCAGAAACTAGTCACGTTCGCCTCTTTCGTGCCCAACAACGATGTAATAGTTCCCTATTTATCACGAGTCGAATGAGGCCTCGGAACGTGTTGAGGCCCTCGTGAGTCCTGCGGTTCCTATCTGTCGACCTCGAACTGGAAAACTGATTTATTTTGATGGGTTTTTTTTACGTTCAAGAGCTTGTTTAAATAAACATTATTGTGATTATTTATTATTCCTTATGCCTCTCATGTCGGTAGCAGCATTTGAAGTAGACGAGGGCCTTAAATAGAACCATTTTTAAGGTACTATTTACCACAATAGTCTCTTCAATAACGAACAAAAGGCCTAACCAGTGGTAGTATTCAAGTTAAGACCCAAAGGCTCGAGCATACAAGAGGCCTGATGCATCCAACCTGTAAAGGCTCTCTTGTTTTAAAAAAGAGGAAGGGAATTTGCATATTAAACTCATTCATTCTTCCAAATTGATTTTTCAGGCTATTTAGGTCATTATGAGGCTAATATTTCATAAAGGGGAAGCGGGAAATTGCTGTTAGTGGTCCTAAAACCAAGGGAAAGAAAGCCATAAATTACATTTTGGCAGTAATTACAGCCATTTTGTGGTTGATATTTGCACCCAATTCCTTTTTTTTACTCCGCTTAAGTGACTTATTGACAAATGAAAGTATAAACCTGTTTACTCTTCATTAAAGAGGCTCGACAGGATCAATTTTCTCAACGTAGGCCTAATCGATATTAGGTTTCTCGTGTACAGAACCACCCTAAGTACCTATTAATAACTTTTAAAGGCTTTCCGTTTAATTTCCTGATTTAAGGCTCGTAATAACATATCATTTTAATAAACTGAGCCTAATTTTGTAGTGTATACAAACCTGAATATTACTAACATCTCTCTAGAGATGCATGGGACTAACTATGCCCTCAAACTGAACTGTTAGGAGTGTCGTGTAATTTTTCATTAATTTGAAGGCCTTATTCTGAAAGGAACTTAAAATATCTTTATTAAGGCTCATTCAGAATAAGGCCTTTACATTTCTAGTTAATAAAGTAGACATTGGAAGTATGACAGCCTTAAATTACACCGTAGGTAACGTGTATCCAAATTGCCTGTTTAGCCTACTTTTTAAGGCATTATTTTTATTTTAGCCTAAATTTTAGTACGTAAATATGTTCTAAATTAAGTACGGGAGTAAAATTTGCAAAGAGAATAGAGGAAATTTTTAAAAAATTGCTAGTAAAACACAACTTTTGCAGCACCCTTCTTGACGATATCAACAATGATGTCGTTAAAAACGTGTAAGTCTGTAGGCCTATTCGTTACGTCAAGGCCTAAATTGATGTGGTGATATTTATGCACGAGTTTTTACTTACAGCCTTACACTGTACGTAAAAACTTATATTAACAGGCCCCCTCCTGTATGTACAATAAAACTAACGGTTGTATCGATGGAAAATAGGCGACATGCAAGCTTTATTGATCTAACGTTGGCAGACAAGTTTTGTTTGATAAACTTCCAACTCAGTTAGATAGGTAGGCTGATAAATTATCTTTGGCAGGCTTCAGAAATCTTATTTTTAAGCCTGTTTTTTGGTGTTTACAAAATGAGAAAGCCCAAAGCATGCTAAACTTTCTTCGTCACCTTGATTGAACACATTTTTTTTATTCTTCACCCCATACAGGCATCAGAAAGTGGCCTTTCTGATCACGTGATGCAATGCGAAGGCTTTAATTTATCAAATTTTAACTCACTTGAGGACATTTGTGTGATTTTTTTTACATTGGGAATTCATCTTATTCTTCAGGCCCTAATGAGAAGGTGATTTCAGAGGGGTAGAACCGATAAACAGTGCCAAAAATTCCTTAAAAATTAAAGGGGAAGTAGAAAAACCACGCTTGACGCGAAGTTTAACGCGAACGAAACTGACACAACGTCAATAAAAGGCGCGATACAGCGTTAAAATGAGGGAAACTTACCTGGTTTAGGTGCGCTCCTCTTGACTTGCATCCATTTGTAAGTAGGAACAGGGGCCTGTTGTGGTCCCGCTCGGAGGCCCGAATTGTCGTAAGCACCATTTACCTGACAGTTATCCCTTCTGTGATCGTAGGAAGTGTCGTGATAAGCGTACCCGTTCCTCCTAGGCAAATTGAGAGGGTCCAAATAAGGGTAAGCTGTGGCGACACCCTCTCCCACTTCTGAATATTCCAAGTTCCTATAACCAGCGTATTGGTTCCTAGGCCCCATATCAGCTTGGACGTAAGGGGCCGGAGGGCGATTCTGATACGGGGTCTGATCCAGATTGGTGTAGCTCAATCCATTCTGGTCGTTGATGATCTGATGCGGTGTTAAGTCGGCATCGCTCTGGGGCCTTGGCTCGTTAGTATATGGGGCCACCAGTCCGTAGTGTCCAGTTATGGGGTCAGCCGACGTACCCGTTTGATGGTAGTACACCTGAGCAGACGAAAGATCCCCGCCGTAAGTCTGGCTCGTGTAGCCTGTGTCGGGACAAACACTAGCTGCGTACACGACATTAGAATTCATAATTTTTCACTCTCTCCCTTCACACTAGGACTTACCCCGCTTGCCACAAATTAGCTGTCCCACTTGTAGATAAATCAGAAAATAAATGGATGAGAAATCATCGGCAACCAGTTGACAGAAATATGGGAGTTAAATGAAGCACGTGACCGGCTCGACCAATAGCGTGCTTCTCGATCCGTCCAACGGGGGCTTTACATTAGTCGGTGACAGATCATCTGACAAGTTTGGTCCAAATTACTTTTCCTACCGTCGCCATTTACAGCAGTCATCCTCGTACTGTCCTGCAACCTGGACGGCACCGCTACCATGCAAAACCCAACCATTGGACCTGCGTGTTGTCATGGTAACGTGGAGAGGGGCGACTTGCACACATACTAGTCGTCGAGTGGACTCGCGAGAGGTGAGTGGCCACCCTTCTACCCTCGGTATAAAGACGGTTCGAGACAAGTTGTATGCGGGATTTTTCTCTCTCTCTCTCTCTCCCCCCTTTATCTGGCTTTTTTACTCGTCGTCTACTACTATCCCATTGGGTGGTAGATTAAGGCTTGTTTTTGGGGGGCCGGGGGTCGGAAGTGCGTGCGAAGCTGAAGGCTGTTAGCTGCGATCAATGTTGCGTGTTCAGACCGTCCTGTTGTCTCCCATCGGGTGATGAATATTAACGGGGGGCTTTCTTTTCGAAACTGCTACACACGCGGTCTACCTTTCGTCTGGGTGGGTCGTCGGACGTCGAACACCTCTTCGAGCCTTTGGGTTAAGGTCGCCAACCGTACCGAGCCTTAATTCCCCCTCTTTATCCACCCAGCATTTTTATTCATTTTCGAGATTCCTGGACGCCCCGTTTATTGAATTTTCTCTCTTCTTTTGTCCTCCGAGCCTCTCACCAGCTACTGAAGCCTTAAAATAGACTTCGAACACGTCTTCATGTTCATCCATTTAAACAAAGATTAAATTTCATTTATAATGCTATTAGAGCCTTCTACTCCCTAGTATTTGCCTTTAACTGTAGATATCAGGTTTAAATAAGGCTTGAATAACTCAGGAAAATATATAAAGGCTAGGATTTAATAAAATTGTCAATGATTTTATGCATAGATCTATTAATGTATATATATTTACTCTATTTTACATTGGGATAAGGCTAAAATTAGTTTTAAAAGGCTCAAACAAACTAAATTGATAAAAAAAATAAGCCTTTATATAACTTATGTGGAGCTCTATAAAGGCTTCTATTCTATATACACTAGCTGTACAGATAGGCTTAGAAATATGAGCCTACCTGCACAGAAGCCTTTAAAATATGTCTTTTATGGATGATTTTCAGCACCTACATTCATCTATCAATGAAATATATATTTAAATGATTCGTTCTATGATTAATGATCCTCAAGGGGCCTATTTATAATTATAAGAGCCTAAATTAGATCTAATGATAGCCTACCGTGTTAATGCTCAAATGTTAACAGATAATTGACTCCAACGTACATTTATCAGCTAATTTCAATAATGCAATGCATTCGTTTAGTAATATATAGCCTTAGAAGAGGTTTAATTTAGCCTGACTAAAATTTAGCCTGTTTAGAGGTGTCAAAAATGGAACCGAACTTTAAAATATCCTATTTTAGATGGGTCTAAGATAGAAACTTGAAGCAGAAAAATCCAAAAAACATGACAAATTTAAGGCTATGTTAGCCTTAATCAGGCTTTAGAACTGTTAATTTAAGCACTATAACTGTAACTGTACAGATTATCATTGATTACAGAGCCTTAAAATCTTAACTTTTATGAATAGAAGGCCTGTAAATATCAGATAATTTAGCTTACAAGTTTATATATGATTTAAGGTCTTTTTAGCCTTTGTAAGCCTTATTTAAACCTTATAATTTTTAAATGAGGTACGAAAACTAATTGCATGATTCTCATTAGTACTAGAGCCTTTATATTTTTAACCTTTTTTAAGTATAAGTTCTGTAAATGTCATAAGTCCTAGCTTATATCATTAATGACTGCCTACAATATAAGAAATTAAGGCAGAATAATTGTAATTAAATTAATTTTCTTTAATTATAAAGCCTTAAAATTTTAACCTTTTCGAATATAAGGCCTATATAAGTGCCAAGTGACCTGATTTACAAAATCAAAGAAGGCCTATAACTTAAATGATCTGGCATACGATTTCAAGGCTCTTTTAGCCTTTAAAAGTTTTATTTATGATTCAGAATTGTTAATTAAGACACAGCCTGATTGGTTGTGGTGCCTTAAATTATTATTATTATTTTTTAAACAAAAGGACTTGTAAGTATCAAATGATGGCTGTTGCAGGTTTTCAGCCTTAAAATTGTCATTCAACAAGTCGGTTGATCTATCGAGTTGTGCCTTTTTTTTCCTCTTTCTCTTGAAGTCAGAAGCTGCACACCTTAATTAATTCAGCAACGCTACAATTAATTCACTGAAGGGAGGGAAAAATCCTTTTTTGACTTTCATGGATGAATGTGCTCCTTCCAGAAATTAAATAGGAAAAAAAATGTCTCCTTCTTTTCTAGAATATCAAAAGTAATTTTTTTGGCTCCTTCCTTTATGATGGAGAAAGAGAGAAAAAAAAGGCTATAAGTAGTTCCTTACAAATAAGGGTAATTGTTAGATTTAATTACTTCTTAGAACGTTGAGAATTTTCCAAAAAATTCTCATAAGTGTAGGCTTTGTCTTTTTCGTCGGGCCTTAAAATACAGTTTAAAAATTACAAAACGTAAGGCCTATAAGGCTAAAATAATAAAATATTTGGTTTAATTATGTCTTTCGTCTTTTTAGGCATATCTAAGTTTAAAGGCTTGATTTCGCCTTTCTAGCTAGAGTTTCAGGCCCTAGATAAGTTAGTAATTTATTAAATAAGGCTATAAGCCTTATGTATGAAAATAGAGTTTAAAATGAGCCTTAGAAAGGCTCATTTTAAACTCTATTTTCATAAATGAGCCTTAGAAAGAGAGTTTAAAATGAGTTTTAAAGTTGCTAATAGAGTTTAAAATGAGTCTTAGAAAGGCTCATTTTAAACTCTGTTAGCAAATTTATAGTGTAGGAAGGCCTGTAGTTTAAAGGCCTTCTGTATCTTTCAAGGCCTATAGGCCTAATAAGTAGATACATTACTTACAGGCGTATTTATCAGTATTTATTTTATTTGGGCTTTAGAATAGATTAAAATATACACGTGATAAGGAAGCCTAGTAAGGTGTGTAAGCAAAATGCATTATTCAGGTTAACACATCTTTCTGATAAGGTCCATTAGGGCTTATTTAAACACGTAAATGTTATGAGGACTATCAAAAAGTACTCATAAAAACAATCGATCACCTAAAATCTGAAAAAAAATGAGTAAACTTGGACACAAATTAACAGAAAATTGGGCGAAAAATCAGTGGAATAATTTAATTAAATTGTCCCAAGTCTAAAGGCGAGTTCTAATTTTCGATCACGTGACGGAGCGTAACCATTTTTGCCACATATTCAAGTGTTGAGAGGGTAAAGAGTAGGAGGCAATCGATAACTCGATATTTCTCATCGACTGGACATAAACCGAGCCCTCTATCCATCCAGAAACGATTTAGAGGGCTAACAACAAAGAAGAGATTAATTAAACTATCGGAAGCAGGCATAGAAAAGAGGAGAGCAACACACACACACACACACACACACAATTCACCTTTCAGTAAATGGGAGAAACCCCAGAGTGTGTACCACAGTCTACGCCACAACTTTAACAAGTATCAAGAACATGCGAAACTATTAAAGGACCACCAGGAATCTAAGGAACCGAAAAAAAAAGTCTTGTAAAGATCGGGTTAAGTCGAATATTTAGTGTTTAAAAGAAAGAAAAAAATAAGAAAAGAAAAGAAAAGCGCTAGAGTAATTGTGTTTGACACCGTATAATCACGTTAGGGCAATTGACGTGTATAAATGATGTGATACCGTATTTTATTTTATCTCCATTAGTTTTTCGCCACTTGTGAAGTGACAGTTGACCGCACGACATCGTTATGAGCCATTTGTCACGTGACCCCCGTATCCCCCCCGTTTATAAAGACTTTTCTTGGCTTCTTCGCCATCAGTTAGCTTTGTTCCATCCTTTCAAGTTGGGCATAAATTGTAAGTGAAATTAACATAGAAGGGGTACGAAAGGTTTGCCTGTATATCCTTGACTAAGAAAGTATTGACAAGCCAAATCTATCCCAGGCCTGGGTCGATACATTAATGGGGACAACGTGAAGTACAGCAGAATTTCATTTGTGTGGGTGGAAGGAGTCGTAAACAGCATCGATCGAGCCGAACGTGTACTGCCACAACTTTTGTTATTAATTGTTTGATGAAGGGATTTTCCTTTCTCAAGAAACAACTCCTGTATAACGTATGGCCATTAACTTTTTTACGGTTTACTACTTATTACGTATTGCAAAAACCCCTCTTTTAACGGGGTTTACTGTTAGGAATAATAGCCTATCAGTATTGTTGTTTCTGTAATCCCTTATAAGGGTGTATGTCAATGTGGCATACTCCTTTTACCACAAAAAAAATGTATCAAAATTCTTCATACTAGTAAGCAAGTAGGCATACTGGTGAACGTGTAAGCATGCACACTTCCTTATTACTTGCATACTACTGCTTACCAATAAGCAAGCGTACTTGTTTACTTACACACTAGTAAGCAACCAAACTCACTAGTAAGTGGGTTTTTCCATGCTTACTGGTAAGCAAAACTCTCAGAACCATGCAAAAGAATTGCAATAAGGAAATCTTAGAGTGAAAATATTGTGGCAAGTGTAAGGGGGGGTTTTCCAACAAGAAATACGAGCATTTTCACAGCCTTAAACTGCTAAAAAAGTTTATTACAAGCTTACAGGGATGGCAGGTAGACACGTTTACAAACCTCTCTTTTTCTAACAGAGAAAATCAATTGTTTGTGAATCTAGCTTATGTTTTTTTTTCCCTTTTTTTTGATAAAGTTGAGGCTTATTTCCGCATATTTTCCGGTAGAAG